AGCGACCCCGTTAACATTCGATCTTATCAGCTCACTGCCGCTCAACTCAAGGAGCAGGATTGACAGATCAAATCACTCGTCGAAAAGGGGCTCGTACGCAAGAGTTCCTCTTTGTGGGGGTTTCCCGTGCTATTCGTAGCCAAGAAAGGGGGCAAATTCCGGATGTGCGTCGATTCCAGAGCACTCAATCAACAAACCCGCAAAAATTGCTATCCTTTGCCAAGGATCCAGGACTGCCTTGATCAATTAGGGCTGTCACAGATATTTTCGAAACTCGATCTCACCTCCGGATACTGGCAGATCAGACTCGCCTCTCAAGATGTGGAGAAGACCGCCTTCAACACGCGAAATGGAAAATGGGAATGGCTCGTCGTGCCTTTTGGTCTTGCGAACGCACCTTTGACGTTCCAAGCAATCGTCAATCGCGTTCTTAGCAAGTACATCGGCAAGTTTGTTATTGTGTACCTAGACAACATCCTCATCTTTTCGAACAGCGTTGAAGAGCATCGAGAGCATGTACGACTGGTTCTGGAGGCATTGAAGGAGGCTAAGTTGTATGCCAAGCCTTTGAAATGCGCCTTCAATGTGAAGGAGATTGATTTCTGTGGGCACTTGGTTAGCGACGGGAAAGTACGTCCCCTCGACGACAAATTGAAGGTGGTAAGGGAGTGGCCGACGCCAAAAACGGCCCACAATGTCAGGAGCTTTGTTGGGCTCGCCACTTATTACCGACGCTTTGAGGAAGGATTTGCGAAGATCTGCGCACCTTTACACGACTTATTGAAGGGCTCACCGCCTTCAGCCAAAGCTGAACAAAGGCGTGAGGTTGTGTGGGAACAACGTCACCAAGATGCCTTCGATCATCTGAAAACGCGATTGTGTGCGGCTCCGGCGCTTGCGCAGCCAACTACAGAGAAGCCATTCTTTGTTGAAATGGACGCCTCACAATACGCAATTGGCGCAGTCTTAAGCCAGGAGACTACGGACGGGAAAAGACACCCCGTAGCCTATGATGGGCAAAAGATGAAGCCTGCCAAACTCAACTACAGCGTGTCTGAACAAGAGTTGTTGGCCATCAAGTACGCGCTGAACGCATGGAAACATTATGTGGATAATGGTCGTCAAACAACGATTCTGACTGATCACCAGAACCTAGAGACCATTCCCTGCACGAAGGTGGCTTCAAAGCGACTAGCACGCTGGTTAGACGAGTTTGGAGAAGTAAATCTCGATATCAAGTATCGTCCCGGCAAAGAGAATGCCGCCGCTGATGCAATTTCGAGAAGAGCAGACTGGGTCAACAGTCTGAATGAGGTACCTTCAACGCTCAGCGAGCTGCGTCAATGGTTCCTAAGTAATGCCACGGAACCGACGCAGACCATTGCGTCCGAGGTTTCGCAGTGGCGGTACAACCCCCGCGACGGTAAGTTGTACCACCAAATCGCGGGTTCAGCGGCAGAGGACAATCTCTTTGCGCCATATGTGGAGCCAAAGGACAGGCCTATGGCGCTGTGGGGAGTCCACGGAGAGGGGGCTCATTCAGGATGGAGACGCCTGAAGGATATGTTTGTCAGCCGTTATTGGTGGCCGCGCCAACTTGCGGACTTGGAAGCGTTCACCAAGGCATGCCCCACTTGCCAGGTGCACAAGTCTACGGCACCAAACACCATCAATGAACACAAGCACGTCATTGCCAGTGAAACTCTCAGACCATTTTACCAATGGGGAATTGACCACGTGGGTCCCTTCGACAAGTCAATTAATGGAAACAGGTACTTAATCTGCGCAGTAGATTACGCGACTTTGTGGCCTATTGCACGAGCAGTTCCCAACGCAAGTAGCAAACACGTACTTCGTTTCCTGCTCAAGGAAATCTACCCCATCTTCGGTCCGCCCAAAGAGATTTTTAGCGACAATGGTAAAGCATTCTTGGCCGACGTAGTCACGGAACTATTCCTACAAAGTGACACCAGGCATCGAATTGCAACGGCTTACCACCTGCAAACGAACGGTAAGACCGAAGCGTTCAATGGTCAAATCAAGAGGATGCTCAAGACGTTAATGTTCCGGGGTCCCTCGTGACCGATGGGACAAACTGATTCCAATGGCCCTGATGGCAGGCAGGTGGCGGACGCATTCGACGATGGGAGTAAGCCCTTACAAGGTGGTGTTTGGCATGCGCCCACCCGTCGATGTAGACCACTTCGTCGCCTTGCCATGGCATGCGATGGTGGAATCGACAACCAAAGGAGTGTCTTCACAAAGACACTGGAGAACTGTGGTCGGCACGAACATGCGTAAGATTGCGGAAAAGTTCGGCGCTTCAATTCGAAGTATGGCAAGAATGCCAATTTGTTTGACGTAGGCGACTACGTCATGAAAAGGAATGAGGCAAGACAGGGTTTGGAAGGCGGATGGTTTGGCCCATACAAAATCATCCGGAAAGGCGATCTGGGCACTTATGTCTTGGAGAGCATGAACGGCTTGCACAAACCCGTCTTCGGCAACCATTTGCGCAAGATTACGGAACCCTTTGGCAAGAAAGTTTGGTTCAATGAGGCTGCTCATAGCCACTTTTGTTGGGCCGTAAGCGGACACCCAGAATTTGCCGCTCTTAGAGAAGGTGGAGGTGTTGAGGAAGACACTGGCGACATCGATTTCGATGCAAACGCGTCGCAGCCGTCCTCGAGCTCCATTCCCTGGATCGGAGGCCAGCCCCTAGCGTCTTCCTGAGTGTCGTGCCCACCTACGACACAGCCCTCCAAAATTCTACCAAAACCACTTCGAACGCAAACAAGTCACAGCATAAGGCACAAGGGAACGGAACATCTATTCGACCGAGGTAAAATACAACAAAGAATGGTTCGAAAGATGGCAAAACATTACGAGGACGGAATACGAGATGGGGGTCAAGGAACAAAAAGGAAGGAAAGAGAGCGAGCAGAAGAACGGCGACCCAGCGTCGAAGAGGGCGTACAAGAGGCAACTCCTCAAGGGGAAGACTGCCCTTGACTTGGCAAAGCCTTCTTCTTTTGCTCCAACCTCTTGACGCGCCAGGGATAAGGGTTTGCGCCGCTGGGGTTGTGTTGTTGCGGCACACGAGTGAGCTCCCCCACGTCTTCCGCTCAAACCTTGTCAAAGCTAGTTGCAACATACAAAAAGAGAGCCGAAGGGTCGCTCGTGAGAACTTCCGGGTGTTGCTCCAGTTCCGCATTGTGATTTGTCACGATTTGCGCCGCACAAAGTTCCAAGAAAGCGGCGTCGCGCACAGCCTTCTCCTTCCTGGCTTCGATCTCCAGCAACCGCGCCCTAGCCCCGTTTGGCAGTTTCTTCAAAGTCGAGGGACTGACTTCGATGCCAAAACGAGCATGGAGCTCGCAAGGAAAGTTGATCGCCTTGTCCTCGGCGCGGATGCTGCAATACTCGAGCCGACTGTAATCGACCCAGGGTACCTTGTTGTAATACATCATCGAAGTCCAGTCAAGATTTGTCAAGCGCGCCGCCGGAGGCCACTTCCCTTCCTGCCGATGATGAAAAAGAATGAGTGCGGAGTAAAGCGACTTCAGCACGCCAGGCCGACCCTTGTCGACGTCCAAGTTGATCCTGCGCCATACAACTAAGACAAGGTCGACAATTGAAGTCAGCAGGGAAGCAGAGTATGATGACGAGCAAGCACGACGTACCATTGTTGTTGATGTTGCATTCGAGCGAATCGGTTTTGCAACGCGCGCACTTGGTGCACAAGGGCTTGCCAACAACGACCGGGGCTATGACGCAAGGGTGATCTCCATCCACGCACGTACAACAAGGAAGATGCGTCTCTTCCACCGGAGCAAAGCAGGTCGCGGGGAACTTCTCCTTGTTCACCAATTTCGAACCCTGACAAGACAATCTGTCAGCAGTCTGGATCGCAGGAGAGGTTCGACTACCACGATCACAAACAAGGACACTCACGGAGAACTCGGTAGGAAGAAGAGTTGCCTTCTTGTCAATGATGACCATGTCGTGGGCATGATCGCCGTTGACGGCGGTACGACGCTGACGGACCCAAATGTCAATTTTGGCAGCGGCAGAGTCGAGGAGGACCTTCGAACGTAAAAGAGTGTTGACGTAGTTGACGTCCTTCTGTTTTAGGACGCCATGAAGAGGGGAGGAGCAAATAACGTTTGTTGGTTGGAGGCGCGCGAGTCGAACATCTTCTTCCGTAAAAGGCTGGCGGTCAAACTCGGTCATTTTCTTCAGCATAGTAATACAGCAAAGGGGGATACGAGTTGAGAAGAAGTTGTCAAACACAAGTACAAAGGTGGCAAGAACACACGAAGGAGGCTTCAAAGTGGAAATGCTGGATGCGCTAGGTTGCAGAACAAGAGAGAGAGAGAGCAGCGCAAGATGAAGGGATGTGGGTTCGACAATCGATACTGATGCAGAAGACGACCTCTATTTATAGGCGAGAGTCAACAGATGCTTCGACTAAAAGATCGGCTGATGAAGGTAACTTCAGGGTGCTATTAAACAGTCGAGTGAAACAAATAGGTATTCGTCTCGATCATCACAACCTAAAACGATGTCGACCTCGACGCCCATTCATCCTCGACG